CACTACTCGTACTTCCTTGCGCTATGGGCATTATATTCTTGGGAAAAGTTGAGTTGTCTTGGTCTTAGCATAAGAAGAGAGTGGGGGCGGTTCCTAGTTTAGCCCTGATTAGGATAATATCTCAGCCCTTTGAGGATTCTTCCAGCCAATTTCGTTGTCAATTGGCTTACTTCAAATGATGCCACTTGTAAGGTGATTCATTGAGATTATTCCCTCCCAAGGGAGCGAATCCATTCACACGCTGTTCAAAGGAACATCCAACGGTGAATTCAGATGTATCAGTCCTTCAGTGGATAGAATGGTGCTACTTACGGCGGCAGCATATGGAAGTGAGCAACGGCAACGAGGGTTTTGAGGCTTGGTTATTAGAGCAGATCAGAACAGGCAAGTCTTCCCTTACCCTCCCTTCGAGTCCGGCTCACCTTATAGCATAGTTCAGAAGAGAAGGAGATCATTATTCTCTTTGTTTCGAAGCTCCTATTTTCTACTTCAGCAGTGGCATTTTTCTTACACCTTTCCTTCATTCTTCGCGCAACAATCACTTTTCTATCTGGAGAAGTGCCTTTGAACGAGCGTTGATGATCGAAGTTCAGGGGCATCACTACATTACAACAAGATTTTATGATGCACCTGAATCGGACATGTCACGCCGTTTGGCGAAAAGTAGTGATCGCACTAGGTTTTGATAAGTTTCGAGTAGCGTAAGTTCAGATTTGACGTCAAGCAGCTTCAAACCGGCTCGAGAAGTTCCTCTTAATATCATGGGACATATCGTCTAATACTTACTAGGCTTTCTGCAGCGAAGAAACAGAAGTAGCCCTTCCCCTACGATCACACACATATTCAGCTCTATGAAGAGGCCTTTGAAAGCAATGGGTACGGAGCCAGTAGCGTATAAATAGCAGCGTTCTCCACAGAAAGCTGAAAGCGAAAATCGAAGTAGCGGGCTTGACTGACTACTGGGAGACATCTACAAGCATAATTCTATGTCATTATCACAAACATCCAAAGGCTAATGGATTCACGTGAAGTCGCATCAATCCTTGCCCTTCATCTTTTAGGTTCGCTGGAAGGGCACGTCCACAAATCTACCTACTCGTGCTGCTTTAGTCCACTTCTCTTGGGAATCTCTTGTTTAGTCTATAACGGCCGTGGAAAATGCCTGCCGATTCAAGAGAGAAGTTTTCAGTCTTGCTTGCATTTGTGACGTGAGCCCCAAGAAATAGGAGTTCATCTAGCCCGATTAGGTTCGGAGGCCCAGTCACAGTTCAGTAGTGGCACTATTCAGAGTCAAAAAGGATAAAGCTAGGCCTTATCAACCTGTTTTGAAACATGAAGCATTCGATTATCATTCAGAATCGTTGTGACATTTCAATGTTATCTTGGCCTGCTCTACAGTATGACACAGCGAAAATTCCTCAAGTAGTTTACTCTACCAGTATGCGCCACTGTGCAGTGCAACCGGTTCTATTAAAAAACTCCTGCAGTGCCATTTCCTTTTTGTCACTAAGGGGTAAGTATACTTGCCAGAAACTTTTAAAGCGGCTGGTACTTGAAGGCACGTGCCCCAAACCAGTGTGTTGTCCGGTTAAAAACATAGCAGCAAGGGCGAAGAGGAGCATCAGTGGGGGAAAAACGCAGAAGAAAGCGTCAAGACACTGGAATTAGAGATCTTCTTTTCTTGTGAGGTGCGTCATGGTACAACTGAGAGAAGCAGTGCGGCGAGGAGAGGAAGTATGTAGGTAGGGAAACAAATTGTACGAGAGGGCGCAGATACCGTATACGTCAAGCGAGTACGGCAGCGGTCGCAGCGGTCCAAGCAAGGCCTTGATAGTAGTACACTTCCGAATAGCGATAACGACCATGCCACTATTCCAGTGCTCAGGAACCCTGCTACCTCATTGATAGAGAGAATC